CATGATCACCCCCAACTGCCCTCCCCTGCCAGTCTAATCACCTCCAACTGCCCTCCCCTGCTGGCCTGATCGCCCCCAACTGCCTTCCCTTCTGGTCTGATCACCCCCAACTGCCCTCCCACTGGCCTGATTGCCCCCCAACTGCCCCCCTGCCGGCCAACTCGCCCCCAACTGCCCGCCCTGCCGGCCTGCTCACCCCTAACCGCTTCTGCCTCAGCCCCGCCACCATGGCTTTGTCCGAAAGGACGTCCGGTCTCTTGGAAGGTCTCCCTGTCTAATTAGCATATTACCCTTTTATTAATATAGTTCATAATATTTTCTTCCAATCATCTGTATTTCTGTGGTATCAGTTGTTACTTCACTGCTTTCATTTTATTTATTTAGGTCCTCTCTCTTTGTTTCCTGATGAGTCTGGCTAACAGTTAATCAATCTTGTTTATCTTTTCAAAGGACCAGCTCTTGGTTTCATTGATTTTTTTTGGTATTTTTTAAATGTCTATGTCATTTATTTCTGCTCTGATCTTTATTATTTCCTTCCTTCTCCTTATTCTGGGCTTTTCTTGTTTTTCTCTTTTTAATTCTTTTAAATTGTAGGGTTAAATAGTTTATTATTAATTTTTGTTGTATTTTAGGTAGGCCTATAGTGCCATGAGCTTCCCTCACAGGACTGCTTTTGCTGTGTCCCAGAGATTTGGGGTTATTGTGCATTTTCCAGGAACTTTCTTGCTGCATCTTATTGATATCCCATCCTTCCTATCTAATAAAAGAGAAACATGGTAATTAGCGTACGACCGCTACCCTTTCCATTGGCTAATTATAGCGATATGCAAATTAACTGCCAGCCAAGATGGCGGCCGGCAGCCAGCCAGCTTGAAACTAACATGGGACTTGCTTGCTTCAGTGACGGAGGAAACCAACGTTCCCCACCTGCCTTGCCGGCCTCAGAGCCTGCAGTTTGAAACATTGTAACAAATATAGAAGCTAAACAAAAACCCAGAAACCAGCTTTCAGCAAGCCAGATCTCAGAGCGGGAGTGATACATT